CACTTACATAAATGAGCAACAGTGTCCTGCACCCACTAGTAAAAAAATAATAATAAATTATATCTGGTCTCTGAATAATTTTTGGTTTGACTGTATATCCTTTGGTTATTTTCACACTTATGCCCATTAAAATGTATTTTATACGTTTTTGTTACTATCACTTTTTTTGCTCTATGGTACATCATCTTTAATTTAATAGCATTAGAGCTACTCCATTGCAGCGGCTTAGTACTGTAATCACGCGCTTTGCTGTAATAATGCAGGGAACCACTCGTTATAAATCTCCTAACTGTGATATTTTCAGAAATAGAAGTCGCGTTTTTTTTTTCATCTGAAACGTGCTGCGATTTATATTCCAAAGCCACTCATATAATGCACAAACACTCAAGCAAGCAAAATGCGCAACACATGCACGTATTTGTACTGGTGCAGAATGAGAGGGACAAGTAGTAGGCTACAGCCTAGTGCATTTCACACAGGTTGCTAGATTCACTTTCGCGGGAAAGTCGTGTATGCCTAAGGTTGAAAATAAATGATAAATAGTGAATGCCCCTATAAATGGTCTTATTTTTACGATTTAGTTTTAATCCAAATGATGCGTGTGCTAAGTGAGTGAACATCAAAGATCACACAACAGAAGTGCGTGCTCGTGCTCTCTCTCTCCCTACCGTTAAGTAACTTCTGCATTGTTTTACTTATTTGTTTTTGACACATCCAACCAAACTACAAGCTTTCCAGTGATGTCTGTGAGAAAGACATATCCACTCGACAAGCTTGCGCATCTGCGCCGCCACGCGCACAATCCACTCAGCGTGCTTTGCTTATCAGCTCGTGCACATCAGCTCTACAGGCGTTAATACTGAATGTTGAACATTATATTCATTGCATACATATACTTCGTAGACAGCCTTAATCTCTAATAAGTCCATTCTGCTCTCTGTTGTTGGGATTTCTTTGTCTGAATATGGCACTTATCACATGCTGTGTGGTATCGGGGCATTTTAACGAGTACAAGTACAAGAGCTCAGTATCGGGCCCATCGGTATTGTTGCATCCCTAGTATCAATAGCCAACAATACGTTGTATAGTTGAAAGTTGTTGATTTTTCTTTTATGCCAAAAAATCATTAGGATATTACAGGTTTTTCTCGATTGCTAACACACAATTCATGAAGCAATTCATCATTTTCTTAAAACTATAAACACAATCTCAAAACTACACACCAACTTGTGCAAACGTATAACTTCCAGGTCAAAATCAGATACTTTAGTCAAAAACATGTTCTTCTTTTGTCAGACTCAAACTTTGGCCTCAGATGACACACAAACTTGCCAAATTAAAAAAACACTACAAAAACCTTCTTTTGGGAAATAGGAATTATTTTGCTAGTAAATGTCTGTTACAGTATACAACATAAATAGAGGGGTGCAGATCAAATTCAGCAATAAACTGTATAACTTTATTAACTTTAGAAAGGTTTATTTTCATTACACTACTGTAAAGAGATCTTACAGTAGATGAAAAGCAAGAGAAAAGTTCAAAAACCAAACAACAGAATATACAGTAAACACACATCGGAATATACTGTCAGTTACTTTACAGAGATAAACGATGAAAGAATGAATGAATGAATGCATAAATAAATAAATTCATTCATTCTGCATCCTCTGCCAAATCGCATTACATTATTGGTAGTATCCTTATTTGTTATAGCAGTTCCTTAGTCTTCTGACAAAAGATTTCCCTGCCTCCCCTAGACAGTCGTCTCTCAGTTCTGCAAAAATAGAGTACATGTAAGGAATACTTGGCTACAAATTAATTCAAAAGTAATGAGTTTGAGGGAGTACAACATGTGCTACAGTATTTACTGTACATAGAATAATAAAAGTTATCACATCTGAAGTAATGCTGCTATGTACTGTAATGACAGTTTTTCTCAGTCGCTTTGGTGCATTTCTCAAATCATCCTTACAGTTTTTTTTACAATTGCTTAGGCACAATTTTAAAAACAAGGCTCATTTTGTCAAAACACTACACGCAATTCACACATCCACACACACAAGTATCAGAACATCTCAGATCTTTTGCAAAATGATAACATATGGCACACACATTTCATACAGTTGGATTCTCTTTGAACCACTTAGACACTGCTGTGCACAATCTTAAACACTTGTAACATTTCTATTTTTGATGCTTTTTTGCACATTCATGAAAATATTTATTTCTCACCATATTGCAAAATCCTTCAGTACATCATTGCAATTTTGGCTGCATTTTGCACTGAAAATCAGAACATATTCCAAATACAATATACAGCAGTGGCGTTCCGTCCATATAAGCTGCGAATGCTCCGCCTACCCAGGCCATTTTAGAGAATAAGTTCACGGGATAATTCATATTAACATGATTATAAATTGATCCCTTGTAATTTGAAATGTAACTTAAAGAAAAAAGAGTTAGGAATAAGTACGTAAAATGATTTATTTGCCAAAAGGCAGTAATTTTCTTTAAAGGGGTCATATGATGCTTTTTTAAAGATAATTATTTGGTGTATTTGGTGTAAAAGAATATGTTGACATGCTGTAATGTTCAAAAAACACATTATTTTTCAAATACTGTACATTATTGTAGGTCCTCTATGCCCCGCCTCTCTCAAACGCTTCGTTTTCTACAAAATCCCTCCTTCCGACAAGCGCAGTCTGCTCTGATTGGCCAGCTGACCCAGTGCATTGCGATTGGCCGAACACCGCAAGCACTCGTCAGAAATGTGACGCCCCTTACCATAATGCGAACTTCATCTTTCAAAATAAATGTAAAGACAGAGCCCAAAAGGGGAACAGTCGCGTTACAGACACAGTGATGAAGCTGTTATGTGTTTGCAGTACACAAGCCACGGTTAAGACAGCTGACTCCACTTTGATGTGACGCTCTCGCTCGCGTGCGCGCGCACACACACACACGATCTCCCTGACATGGCTGCTTCAACAGTAACTGCGGTTACTGAAACCACGCCCTCTTTCTTTACATGCACATTTGGGCCACATTATGCAAATATTTCCACATAGTGAGATAGATATGTGGGGGCGTGTTAGAACGAGCCGTTTTAGGGGGGCGTGGCAGAGTCTTAACTTTGATAAAGAATATCTCTTTGGTTTTGAGACTTTAGTCTTTGCAACTTCAGGGACCTTATCTATGCACAACCAGCTTGTAACGCTCCAAAGAGAAAGGAAAACTTGAAATCGCATCATATGACCACTTTAAATCTACCAGTTATGGTTGCTTCCGGGCGAACGGATTCTCCTCAGCTTTCTCGCCTCCGCTCTCTTGCTATGACTTGTCAGGATTATAGCGCGTTCTCAGTGATTTGCTAGTTTGCGGCTGATTTCATGCATGAGGTAAACTGTTCGCGAAGCGCTCGCCCTAGCGGAAAAATGTGCTGTTCCTGTCAGATCTCGATTGCTGAGAATCACATTGTGTTTGATGCAAAACCAACTCGACTAAATCAATAGGGAAAAAAACCACTAAATTTATATTTGTATTTTCTCAAGCAAAGCAAATATGCTTTATGCATATGCTCCTGTCACTTACAGTTGAAGTCTTTCTCTGATTTTATTATTGTTTGCAAGGTTGCAACGTTGCTTTGCAAAATTGTTATTACTTTGGGTATTTTGCATGGTTATTGGAGTAGTGTCACCCAGGGGGGAGTTTTAACTGTTTTCACTGAGAATAAAAAAAATAATAATTTAGCAGCTGCAGAGACATAGAGCGGGGGAATCCCCCCCCCCCATGCTCCCCACCCTTTGATTATGTATCATAACGTAACTACGTGTAAACGTTATTTGGCGGTTTTTACCAAGAGCTATATGGGGGGTCTTATCACTTGCCACTGATTTAATTTCATTTATTTATATAGCACAAATAAACACAACAGGAGTTGACCACAGTGCTTTACAGAATATAAAACTAAGATACAGATAAAGAAAGAAAGCAATAAGACAAAAAAATAAATAAAACATAATTAAGAATTGCTAAAAAGCTCGGGCCAGAAGATAAGACACTTCGATTTAAACTCATGCACAGAGGACAGGGATCTCAGATAAAAAGGAAGACTGTTCCAGAGCCTAGGTCCAACAACGGCAAATGCACGTTCCCCTCTTGACTTCAGTCGTGTTCGACGCTGAGCTAGAGGGTAATTGTTTGCGGACCGCAGACTCCTGACTGATGTGTTCAGATTTAAAAGTTCAGACATGTACGAGGGTGCAAGACCATTAAGGGATTTAAAAACAAACATCAATATTTTAAAATCGACTCTATGATGAACCGCCAACCAATTTAGAGCCATTACAGTTTTTTCCAATTGCTAACACACTAAAATGACATGCACAGCACAATTATTTAAACTGACACACAGAGAGCAAAACTTCTTCTCAAGTCTCCAAAAGTCTAAACACATTTTCTGCTTTACACACATTTTGCATTTCAAAATGGCACTTTTTAAATGCACTGAACACAGTTATCTGCATAAGACACAACAATCTGACATAAAGTCACATGTTTGCCATTTCAAAACACTGCCATTCAAAATGACACTACATGAGCTAATTGGCCAATTACATGTGCCACCCTCACGTAGTACACATGTAGTATACCCCATGTCATAGTGTATCTGTTGGGTGACACCCGTTTACATAGTGTATGACATCAGCCAATCATGAACTGTACAAGTTTCCTGTACAATGTACTCTACTGTGGGGGAAAATATTTAGGCTGCATTGTCCAAGCCCTATATATATTTTTATTTTTTCTGAAGGACTGAGAGACGACACCATGGTGGAGGAAGGGGCCAAATGTTCACCGGGGTACAGGAAGCTGCCATTGTAAACTTGGTTTTGGAAAATAATGAAATCAGATTACGAGAAATTCAAAGCCACATCATCCAAGACAACACCTTATTCAACAACATTCAACGAGTCAGTCTGTTCACATTGGCTCGCATTCTCAAGCGAAACCAAATCAGAATGAAACAACTTTATAAGGTGCCATTTGAGAGAAACTCTCAAAGAAACAAAGAGTTCAGACGAGCATATGTGGATGTAAGTACTATATTGACTGCAGTACACTACACGCAACATTGTTTCCCAGTGTACTGGATAACACCATATTGACTGATTTTTGTTCTTTGTTTTCAGGGAGTACTGGAAATGGATGCTCATGCAATCCCACATGAGTTCATCTTTATAGATGAGGCTGGGTTCAACCTAGCAAAGACCAGAAGAAGGGGGAGAAACGTCATTGGCCACAGAGCCATTATAGATGTTCCTGGCCAACGTGGTGGGAACATCACACTGTGCGCTGCCATCTCCAGTATGCATGGTGTCCTCCACCGTCATGCCAACCTTGGACCATACAACACAGCCCATATTCTCACATTTCTGGACAGACTTCAAAACATTCTCATACCACCAGAGCGTATGAATGATGCAGACCATCAAAGAAACCGGTACGGTGTAGTATGCGACAACGTGAGCTTTCATCGTGCAGCCCCAGTCCAAAACTGGTTTGCTGACCACCCAACATTTCTTGTGCAATACCTCCCACCATACTCACCATTTCTGAACACCATAGAAGAGTTCTTTTCGGCATGGCGGTGGAAGGTATACGACCCGGCAGCCCTTTGTGCGCATGCCTCTTGTGCAGGCCATGGAAGAGGCATGTGATGAGATTGATGTGGGTGCAATTCAGGGATGGATAAGGCACTCAAGGCGCTTCTTCCCTCGATGTCTGGCAAGGGAAGATATTGCCTGTGATGTTGACGAGGCGTTGTGGC